GGAGGAGAGGGGCGCTGAGGACCAGGCGGAGGGAGAGGAGAGGGGGGAGGAGGGGAAGGAAAGGAGGGGGGAGCAGGAGGAGGAGGGGGAAGAGGAAGGGCGTAAGGGACACCCACACCCCACACACATCCACACACACACACACCCGCGCAGCCACATAGAGAGGGAGGAAGGAGAGCGACCCGGTGCGCGCGCGCAGAGAGCGAACCCGAGCCAGAGAGAGGGAGAGGGAGAGCGAGAGGAGAGCGAGAGCCAACCACCGCCGAGTCAAGATTCAGCGATTCCACAGCAATCGCCCTAATGACAACAGCCTCATAATATCTCCCCTAAATCCACAGTGAGTGCAGCATTGAAACATTTTGTTTCGCTTTTCTATTGGTCTGCGGCATGTCGTTGTGGGGTTGCCATGGCAACCACTGCCAATCACTGTCAGCCCTGCCAATCAATACCCAGAACGTAAGGACGGTTTTACCACTTAGCCAGAGTGGGGGGTGGAGAGGAGGAAAAGAGGGAGAAGGGGGAGAATTTTTTAAAGTGTTTGCAACTCTTAATCTCGCCAAGTCCCCCCACTTCTCCTTCTCTCTCTCTCTCTCTCTCTCTCTCTCTCTCTCTCTCTCTCTCTCTCTCTCTCTCCCCCTCTCCCTCCCTCTCTCTCTCCCTCCCTCTCTCTCTCTCTCTCTCTCTGAATTCCCTTCTTCCCTCTTCCCCAAAGAAGTTGATCCAGAAATTTAAAAAGCCATGGGCATAGAGTTGTTAAATGAGATGAGCAATTTAAAGTGGGGGATTTTGTTGGGAGATGAGAGGCTCCTCATGCTACAGGAAGGCCAAGGGCCAGCCGGAAAGAGAGGCAGAGGGACAGCGGAGCGGACATGGTTTGCACGTGGGCTGCCTCTTTCTGCCTATGTGAGCGCTAAGAGTGGAGAGGAAGAACGGAGAGCTGAGATCATGGGGCCCACCCTGAGCCCCGCCCTGGTCCTTCAGGCTGCTGGGCCCAGGGTCTGGGATTTCTGGGGACATTTGGTGCCTGGGAGCCCAAGCCCAGAAGCCAGGGTTCTGGAAGCGGCTTTGGCTTCCTCCTTCCTGATTATTGGCCACATTCACCCCAACTTCCTCCGCACTGGAACTGGCTTCTCTTTACTCTGCCCTCCAGCCAGAGAGCCTTGGTTTCCCATATTGCCCTGAATTTTAAAATAGCAATAGAAATTAACAGTGCACTTCTTTCCATCTTAAAAAGCGACCCTCCTCTTTGTTCCTCCTAGACTTCAGCTGCTTCCCCTGGGAGCTGTGGAGGAGGTTCACAAGCTGAGAAGCCTGGGAGCCCGCAAGACCCCCCCATACCTGTTACCCCCCATATCTGTTACCCCCCATACCTGCTACCCCCCCCAAAGGAGCTCTGGGTCTGCCTATCAGCCCCAGAAAGGCACCCAAACTTTAGAGGCTGCCCCAAACAAGTGGATAGGCCTGAACATTGCTTGCTTGCTCATATTGTAAAGAAAAATAATAATTAACTGTCAAATTTTTCTAAGGAAAATAATATCACAAGCCTAAAATAGACCCCACAGGGCCCAAAGAATGGAGAGGGCCCTCCCTCCCTTTGGTCACTGCAGCCCCCAGACCCAGCATGAGTATTTATTCTAAGGTATGTCGCTTTTAAGAAGATGTAATCAGCATCTTGAGCCGGGCCTCCCTTTGTGAAGCCTCTGTAACTATGGGAGTGTGATTTACGCAGATTTGTCCGGGTCAGAGCCGTCTTTCCCCAGAGCACTGTGTATATTTAGACAGGGACTCGGTTTGGTGTTTAAAAGTGTATATTTTGAATGAGTTCACACACAGTAGCCAACAATGCCCACATTGTCGGCCCGTGTACAACGTGTATTGAAACGCAGCGTCCAGACTTCAACTAATCTGCCCTCAATAAAGCTGACATAATTATCCTAAGCTGCCTTTCCAGAAGAAAAATCATTGAGGAATTCAAAACTTTTTTTAAAAAAAGATCTTTTCTACATTCCGATGCAGATCTGTGAGCGAGGTGCGGAGCCCACTGACTGCCCTTTGGAGATCTCAATGAGGGAAGAAGGGAGGTTGAGAGAGAATTTCAATGGGAAAACTAACGTGACTGGGCTGTGAGTGTGCCGGCCCCTAACCCCGAGCTCCAGCCCTCCTTGGGCCATGACTCCCCAGCGCCAGGCCCCCTGGGCAGAGACGCAGGAGCTGCGCTGGGAGACTCTGGACAGGGTGAGGGGGCCGATACCCGCCCACTCAGGCCGAGGCAGTCGAGGGTCGCTGGTCCTAAATCCACGGACTGAGGCAGAAAATTATTCGCCCAAAGGGAAGACCGGCCAAGCCCTACTTGGGGGGATCTCACCCCCACCCCATCCCATCTCTCTTCCTCCCAGCCGTGGGTCCTTCTCTGCTCAGCCTCGGAGCTCTGGGCAGTCGTTCACTGCGGGCCCAGACAAGAGCCCTAAGGTTGGGACACAAAAACAGACACTTCATCTTTTCTTGCCGATCCCTTTCTCTCGCAGGGAAAGGATTAAAGGCTGAGGGGTGGGAGGAGGAAGGGGCAGGAGGAGGAAGCGGGGGAGGAAGGAATGAAAAAGGGGAGGGGAGTGGGTATTGTGCCGCGTGTGGGGGGAGCATTCCTACGGGTGGGTTTCCGAATATTGTGTTCAACTTTTTGAAAGCAGCTCGTGACCCCGAAACTGCATCCCCTGGAGCCGAGGACCCCGGCGCCGGGCGGGCGGGTGAACCCAGCCAGTCCCCTCCCCATCCCCAAAACCCCCGCCTCCGGGTGGGGGCGGCAGGGCCTCTCCCGCCGCCGCGCGGTCGGCCCGAAGGGAGGCTGGGCAGGTGCCGCGGGCTCTGCCGAAAGCGCTGAAATCGAAAACCGTCGCCACTCGAGGAGAATTGAGGCAAGTGGGGCTGATACTCCGCTGGGCGACACCCCTGTCCCCACCTCGGCTGGGGAGCCCGCCGACCCGCCGCAGCACCCTGCCGTCTCCGGTAGCGGCCGCGGCTCGGGCGTGCACAGCCGGGCGGAGGGAGGCGGCGAGGCGCGCAGCTTTGTGCTCCCGGACGGGGCCGGCGCGGCGCGGCGCGGCGCGGCGGGCTGAACAGCAGCCGGAGCTGTCAGAGTCGCCCGGCCCGGCCCGGCCCAGCTCCTCGCCGCCCGCCGAGCCCACCTTGCGGGCCCGCTGCCGCCAGCGCCTCTCCGCTCCGGCCCAGAGCACCGCGCCCGCCGCCCGAAGCTCGTAAGTTGTGCGCCCCAGGAGCTGGGGAGGATGGCGGGGCGGTCGGTCCTCTGCGCGGATGGCTAGACTGGCTCTGGGAGCGCAGGCTGGGCAGGGTCTCGGTCTAGGAGTACCGGGATTTCCCCTCCCAAATCCCCAGGTCCTGAGCGTTGGGGAGGGGGTTAAAAGCAGAAGGACCAGGGCCCAGGCCGCCTTCCCTAACGCCCCAGGAGCTGGGCTGCAAGAAGGCCGGGAGGTGAACCTGGGGGGACGCCTGGAAGGGGGGGCGCGTAGGGGGCACCTGCACCTGAGACTCCATCAGAGCGAGGAGACCCGAATGGATAGGTCTGCCTGCGGGGCCTGTAGGTTTCTCCTGCCGTCTGGCCGCCCAGACACGCTGAGGTCACAAAATTGCCACCAGCATCCCTGCTCCATTCTCGCCCAGACGACTGGAAGGACAGTGTAAAGCTGGCGCGAGGAGAAAGGGCGGTTGAGCTGGAGAGTGTCTTTCTCCACCAGGACCTACTGGGCATTTGTTTACAAATGTCAGCCCCGACCCCGGCATTCACAACGCCACCGGGGACGGCGATCGAGACTCCCCCGCTCTCCTCATTTCGGGTCCACGTAAAGCCCAGGGGTCTGCAAGCCTCTGAGAGAGGATCAGAGGTCTGGGCAGCTGCACCCACTCACTCGGCCTTGCTCGGCTCCTCGCGGCCGGTTAGTCCTGAGGGGCAACGCCCCTTCCGGCACCCGGGCCGACGGAGGAGGCGGGGTCCGGCCGGGTGGCCGGCGGTCTGGGCCTCCCCGCGAGCTACAAACTGGGGCGTTTGGCACAGGCGGCGGCGCAGGGCGCAGAGGAGGGCGGCACTCAGGCGGGGAGGCCGGGAAGACCTTCAAGGACCCCGATTACTTTCCTTGAATGAAAAACAACAACAACAACAACAACAACTGCTCCCTCTCTGTACCCCCGCCCCCCGCCGTAGCCTCTGGGGGGACCCGAGCTCCAGGCAATTGTGGCCGGGGACAGTAAACACAGCTCAGTTGCCTCAACTTTCTCCGCACATAAAAGTTCCCGGCGCGCGGTGAAATTTGAATATTTGATCAGCCCCTTTGAGTGACCCTCATTAGCCTGGCGCCCTGCTAAGGCCCCGCCACTGCAAGAAAGCTGCTGGGCCCGGCATTTGTAAGCCTTGTTAGCGCCGCTTAATGAAGCCGCCCCCACAGCTCAAAGGTGGCCTCCGGGGCTGGCGGCGGGCACCTCTGCACCCTGCTCTGCCTAATGAGCCCCACCGCCACCGCCTCCACCTCCCACATCCTCAATCGCGGAGTTTGGCTCTATCTTGGGCCATTGCACTTCCCACTGGCAGGCTTAGGAGAGCGGGCACAAACCCAGCCCAGCCCAGCCACGAGAGAGAAAGAGAGAGGTGGGAGATGTGAAGGACAGGAGCCTTACAGGTTGGGGATTGGATTTTGAGGCCCCGGGTTGTAGCCCAGGCAGTGCACTGCCAACCTGTCCCAAATTGGCCAGTTAGTCACCCCAGTGCCTTAAAGATGCACCTGGCCTAATATGGGGCGGCAGAGGACAGATGCCCAGGGGTGGGTCAGCTTTTCATCCCAAGTTCCTTTGGTCTCCACTACCCAGGAGGCCACCTGCTCCTTTGCAGGGATGCCCTCATGACAACCAGAGCTGGTGTGCTAGGACTCAGATTTGGAAAGGGATGTGCACTCTCACCTCCTCAAACCATCGCTGCCCTCAGCATCCACGTAACCATGTTATGCCCCTTGGCACTAGGGAAGGCAAGGTACTACAGTCTACCCTGGCCACTCCACGAGAGAGCCATGGCCGCGCTGGTCTCTCTCTCATCACGCTGCCAGGCATCAGAAGGGCTGAGAGAGTGCTCAGGGAGGGTCACCTTGGACAGGATCAACTGGCTGCTTGGGTGAGACTGGGACTGAAAAAGGCTTTGAGGGAGAGGAAGAGAGGGATTGCTCTGGAAAGAAGGGGGACCAAAGTCACCAACTACATTCCCGCTGAAGCAAATATAAAGAACCTTATTAGAAGTTGTGCTACGGTCCTCTGACACCCTTTCGTCGCTGTCCCTCCCTCCTCCTATGCCCTTTTCCCTGGACAGTTGTCACTCAAGGTCCCTCCTTGTTCAACCAGCTCTTGGGCTTTTAAGGGTTACTTTGGGGGGATTAATGCACTGGACTTGGGGAGCAGGCTGCTCTCAGAGCCATACTCTGGGCCTTCTGTAGGTGCCCCCCCCCATATGCCCACAATCCCTCAGACATACAGCAGGCTGCCCAGGGTGGCAACCTCAGGACACCATTCCAAAGCAGCTTTCACTCTCTGCCCAAAGGCCTGATAGGCCCCTGGGATAGCAGAGACTTCTAAGTCCACTTGGTTCCTCTTTGCTCTCTTCCGATGCCCAACCGGTGTGCCCCAACCAATTTACCACCCAGGTCACCCTAATTCAAGCCCCAACTGCTGATCTCTAGGGACCATCTCTGAGCTGGGCAATGCGTTGTCGGGGCCTTGATTCATCTAAAGGGCAAAGGTAGGACTGGGGAAGGGAGGGGTGGACTCTGCTGGCGAGATAGGGGACTGAGGCAGAGGGTAGAACTCAGCTCTGTGGCCCCAAGGCCAGGCCTACCAACTGCTCAGGGGAGGAGGCGAGGGGAGGGGGGCTAGGAGTCCGTGGGCGACGGTCGGGGCATCAGCGTGGGGGGCTAGATCCAGAGGAGAAGGGCGAGAGGCGGGGGTCGGGGGAGCGGGGCGGGGGTAGGGGGTGCGGCTCTTTAAGAGCACAAGGCTGGCAGGGAAAGCGCGCGGCCGGGGCTGGTAGCGCATTGACCCGAAGGGGATTTAGAGGGAAGGGAGCGGCCGGCACCGGGGGCTTTGTCCGGGGCGACCAGAGAGGGCGAGGCACGAGAATAAGGACAGGCCGCGTCCTGAAAGGCCGCACGGAGGCGGCGGCGCTGCTGCTCTTGACTTCTGAGCGGGGCTTAGAGAGCCTGCCCCGGCTTAAGCCGGACCCGGTGCCGGGCCCTGAGCGCCCAGCCTGCGGGCTCACAGCCCCCGGGCTCGGAGCTGCGGAGCCGCGGGATGGGGAGGGCACACGGGTGGCCAGGGACCTGGCCAAGTTGCCCTGTGCTCTACAGCTGCCTGACGCTAGTGCAGAGCGGCGTGCGAGCTGGCCCGGCCGCGTCGGGCCAGGCCCGAGAAAGACTTTTCTTTTTCCAACTTTGTCTTTTGGTTTTGTCTCCAGTTCGAGCAGCTCCGGAGCCTGCCGACCCCAAAGGGAGTCTCAACAGGTGGCCGGGTAAGTCCATTTGAGAATTCTGGTCATACCCTTAGCTCCTCCCCGGCCCCTAACGTTCCCCTCCCAGATCCCTCTGGCCGCCTGAATTCCCGGTGCTCCTCCCGCGGGGCCAAGGCGGGAGGAGGAAGTTGGGGGGGGGGGGGTTGAGAGGTGCCCTCACCCTGGGTGTCCTCGGGCTCCCAGTTCCAGCCCAGGACCGCTGGCCGGCGCCATCGCAAAGCTTCACCCAGTACCCCCGGGTCCCGATCACCTTTAGCTCCGTCATAGACGCCGGTACCCCAAGTTGTGGGGGGGGGCGGGGGAGCATCACTGACTGGAAGTGGGCGGGGGGGGGGGCGGGGGCTACGTGGCCGTGCGGCCTTAGTGGGGGTTTGGAACCCAATAGACACCCTCTTTTAGGAGAGACCGGGGAGCCCGCCCGGGGAGCCCTCACCGGCTGTACAATAGCCCGCAGCAGAGCGCCGGCAGCTGGGGGTGGGGAGAGGGTGGGGGAGGTGGAGGAGCAGGAGGAGGGAGGAGAGGGAAGCAGAGAAAAGCAGAGGCAAGAAATCCCGGGCGTCCGAGCGAAAAGTCGGGAAATGTCCTCAGAGCCCGGGCGCACGCCCTCTTTGTCACACACACGCTTGCACACGCACTCACAGCCACCAAGTAGCCCAAGCACGCGGCCCGAGCCGTGCGGGGTCGCACGCCGAACAGGACTGGAGCGGCCCTCCTGCTGCCCAGACCCTTCCGCCGCGCGGCCGGGGCCCGGAGGATGACTGGGGGAGCTAGGAGGACCCCCAGGGCTGGGCGCGGGGAAGAGCTTACCTGCGGCAAGGTAAGGGAAACCAGGAGCCAGGAGCAGCGGCGGATAAATATTCATTAGGAAGTGTGTCTCCTTTTAAACCGCGCGGCGTGCGCTCTCGCTCCGATGCCTTCCTCCCTCCCTCTGTCCTCTGGTGCGGCTTTCTCCCTCTCCGCTCAGCCTCCCCCCACCCTCCCCGCTTTCCTGCGAAATGCCGGGTGGGTCCCCGTCTAGCTGTAGGAAGGCTGAGCCTGGGGAGAGTCTCCACAGCTGCTTGTCTTCGCTCTTGGGGCACGCGTTCCCCAGCTGCCCTCCCTCCGGTCGCCCAGCCCCTCACCCCCTCCTAAATTACTACATCATTAGCTTTATTTTCCTGTGTGTGTGTGTGTGTGTGTGTGTGTGTGTGTGTGTGTGTAGGGGGGAGGGTGACGGCACAGTTCGACCTACCTCCCCAAAGCTAGCCAAAAGCTGGTGCTCTCCAAACCTGCCCCAACTCCATCTCCATCCCCACCCATGCTCCCACCCACATCCTCACCCAGTCTTGTTTCTTACCCCCCGCCTTTCCTCTCTACCTCCATCCTGTACCTACCCAACTTCACCATCCCCTCCCCTCCCGCCGCCTACCACCGGGATCCCCAGATGGATGGGCAGTGACAGGCCAGGGCTGTAGGTACAAGGATCCCGCATTGGGGGTGGGGTGGCCCTCTTTCCCACGTAGCTTCTCTCGCTTGGCACTCAGTGGGCATCTGGGCAGCTTGGGCTTAGGATCAGAACACGGAGGCGCACATCAAGGGCCTCACCCCGCCAGGCCTCACGGTCCCCTGGGTCTTGACCTGGGAGGCTGCATGGCTTCACTTTGTGCGAATGAGCGGGAGAGACAGACCAACACACCGGCGAGCTGATGATTGCCTTCTGAGAACACACTGACCCGAAGTTAGTCGCAAGTTTGCATCTTTCTCTCTCACGCTCTGAGCAAACACATCCGCAGGATTCCAGGAACTCAGAAATCCCTCCCGAGAACCGTTTCCAGGCGCTAGGGAGCACGGGCCCACCCCCGCGCGCCCGGGCCGGCGCTCCGGGACCTCGGAGACTAAGAGGCCGCAAGGTCGCTCCGGATGGACGACCGTGGCCACCATACTTGGTACCTTTCCTTCCCGCTCCAGGTACCTAGGCCACCTCAAGGGCGCTAAGGGAGGTGTGGTCCCCAGGTGCTTGGGGGTGGCCGGCTGAGCTCGGCGCGCCGAAGTGGGGGCGGGAGGAGGGGCCGAGGGGGCGGGCCCAGGACAGTTCCCAGCTCCCGGTAGCGCTGCTCTGGGGAATCCGAGGGGAGTTTTGCTCCCAAACGAGCAGACTCCTAGCCCAGAGGTGCCGCGACTTTGGATCGGGTCCTACACCTTGCCCAGGTTCGCGGGAGCGCAAGCGGCCTGTGCTGGCCTGGGGCGAAAGGTGCGGTCTCGAGTCTCTGGGCGATCACGCGACTTCTCCCTCCCCCATTTGGCCTGATCCTTTGGGGCCCCGAATCCACTCCCACCCTGAGAGGCCCCAGAGGCTCTTTCGACTCATCCCGAAGGGAGTGAGGAGCAGAATCCTCGCTGGGTCTCCCTCCTCCCAGAAGGTTAGGAAGCTGCGCAGTTGAAGGTGTAACAGGCCCTAGAGGGCCCTGGGTCCGAGAAGCGTTATTAACCTTGCACCTCACCTACAGCCCCCAGTTCGCACTTGCCCATCCATCTACTCCGCAGCAGGCAAGGAGGTTGCACGCGAATCCGAGCTCAGGCTTAAGCTGTCACTTTACTGCACACGGGGTGTACAGGCAAGGTGTACAGGCAAACTGTACGCAAACACACGAGGGTATTAGAAGAACGTTAGCAGCAGAATTTGAAGAAAAAAGAAGTGTCCACAGACAGAATGTTCGGATGCACGGGTGCACACCCAGTGCTCCAGATGCAGACAAGAGCCACAGTGCCAGCGGCCCGTGACCTCAGCCACATGGGCAGATGGACAGGAAGCCACACACAAGGAGAACGGGGCGAGCGAGGATGCAGGCCCCCAAGCCCAGGGCTTCCTGCTAGAGGGACCTTGGCTCCTGACCAGGAAACGTTGCTGAGCCGACTGGGGGAAAGATTTCGGGTCAAGTCCTGGAGACTAGAAAGAGCACTTCATCCACCCCAAAGCCAACCCTTTCACCTGCCTCAGCTGGGCTGGAGACGCCCAGAAGAAGGCGGTCTGGGAGAGGTTCACTTTGCCCTGGATTATTTGTCTTTACTAGGAGACTGCGTTCTGCAGGAGGGTGGGGTGGGAGTGAATGCTGTGAGATTCCTAAATCCTAATGGGACCATGGAGCTCCAAGGTTGAAGAAAGGGAGGGCCCTTATTTTGCCCCTTTCACTTCTCTTAACCTAAATATAGTCGTCCAAACAAGCCTGAGCTGGGCTCCACACACACCCTCCTGCCCTCGCTTCCATTCCAATCTCCTTTAGAGCAAATAATCCTCAAAAGAACGCCTTAAAGCAGACGGAATTATTTGGTTTATTAAACTTTTTATTTTTTTTTGGTGAGATACAGGGAAGTTCTCATCCCCACCCCTCTCCCATCCTAGACACCGCCCACTATCCCCACCAAGCTGGGGAGTAGGATTCCCAAATTCAGGAGGGAGTGCACAGGCTTGTTTGTGGTTTCGGTTTGTGGTTTTCCATTTGCCTGCCCAGTTCCAGTGAACCTTCCAGAGTCCAGACAGTAGCCAGTACAGTTTCTCTGCAGAAGAGGCAAGGACACTGGACGCAATGGTGCCCCCCCCCCCTTCACCTCCCTTCCCAACTCTGTCTCTGAAAGTTAGAGGCAAGTCTGGGGAAATTCTTTCAGAAAAAAAAAAAAAGGAAGAAGAAGCAAAAGGACTTTCTGGGCCAGCAAGTTTGATGCCCGCCTTCCAAGGGGCAGAGGAAGGTCCATCTTGCGCAGAAGAGACAAACCAGTTGGAAAGCATGGCAGGCAGGTGTTTGAAGCGTATGTCGTTGCCCTAGAAATGGAGGGGGTGTGGGGTATGAGTAGGAAATGATTTCTTCCCTTTTGGAGGCAAATTCTGTGCTCTCCCCGCCCCCAAGATATACTGAATTCCTGGGCATTTTAGCAAGAGTTTATTCTTGTAGTTGTTTTGAACAATAAAGAGTAAAACATCACTTTCGAGGCCATTCATCTTCCTTGGAAGGGCAGTTTCTTCCTAGACTTTTTTCTTTCCTCAGGTTTGGTTTTCCTTTTCCCCCAATCAGCGTCCACTTGCTGACACACCTTGGGAAGAGACTGCAACAGAGAGAAGTGAAGAAGGAGACCACACTCCTGAACCCAACGTGTAAGTTCCTTTCCTCAGAGCGGAGATTCAGGACTCGAAGAGCAGTCTCCCTGGGGGCATGTCTCCCTTCTCTAGGTAGTGTATTTAGAGCCTTTTCAGTCATAAAGAACAATCAGCCGTTGGAGACGTTTCCTATTACTGTACTTACCAATTAATTCTACAAGATTCTTCAAACACTGATTTATAAAAATGTGTGGACATAGCTAAGATCCTTGCAACATGTATCCATCAAGCAGAAAAGCAGTTTGTTTTCTCATAGTCCCCAAAGTCCCAGCAGAGTCATTGAAGCAACTGTTTTATTTTTAATTACAGTTGGTATTATTATATTAGTTTAGATAATATTATATTAGCTTCATGTGTACAATAGTGATTAGACATTCATGTAACTTACCAAGTGATCACCCCGATAATGGAGCGAATTTTTTTCTGTTTCCTAAATGCCCTTGTCACCTCTGCCGGAGCCACAGGGCTCAGGGCAAAATCTCGGAGGTTTGTGACCTCTCGAGTAGGGCCTACGGTTTTGTTAGGTTTCTTAAAGATTGTGTGAGGTGTGAGCTCGCTCTCTCTCTCTCCCTCCCTCTCTCCCTCCCTCCCTCCCTCCTTCCCCAAAATGAGCCCCATAGAAGCTAACCATTTCTGTAGCACACTGTGCAAAGAGCTGAACGGTGTTGTCCGGTTCAGGGTTGTGGGTGGGGGAGGGGACAGCCATCACGTTCAACTGAAAAATAAAATAACCCTCATACCCCTTTAATTTCTTCTATTTAATAGTCTCACCTCCAAAGGCGACTTCACCCACGGAGAGCCCAGGCTTCCAGCCACAGCCCAACGGTGCCGCCCGCCGCCCGCCCGAGAGGAGGTGCTCCGACGGCAAAAATCCCATACATTTTTAACTACAGTGATTACTAAATTAATAGCAGGCACTAAGACAGATGTCAAAACGTCTTGAAAATGTTTATCTGTGAATAATTGAGAAGGTGGTGGGACGCATTATCTGATTGTGTAATGAAATATGTATGAGGAACAGCTGTTTGCAACAGCCCCCTCCCGCCCCCTCCTCTGCTGGGGCCCTTCTCTTCCAGGCGGGAGTCGCGGCGAAGCTGGTCGCCCGCGTCTGTCCGCTTGGAACCCGCTCTGCCCCTCCGGGGCCGCTGCAGAGCTGGGCTCCAGCGCGCCCCAGAGTCACCCGCTTTCCAGATAGAGGACATCGTCGGCATGGAGTCGCCCCCAGCCACGCTCTTTCGGCTTTGGAGGCGGCGTGAGGCTTGGCTGCCCTTCGAGCCTTCGGGGTGGGCCGCGGACTTGGCCTGAGACGCCCAAGGAAAGCCGGGCCGGGGGCGGCGGAGGCCGGGAGCCCGGGGGCGCCCGCCGGGCGGGGCAGCCTGCTCGCTGGAGAGGGCCTGGGGCTGCGCAACTCATCGGGGCGGGCCTGGGGTCACCGTGGGGCGACCGGGCTCCCCTGCGGGCTTTGTTCCCCGCCCGGCCAGCCCCCTCCAGGCCCCCGGTCAGCCCCTCCAGGCCCCGGCCAGCCCCCTCCAGGCCCCGGCCAGCCCCCTCCAAGCTCCGCGCCGGCCTGTTTCCCCAGCCCCGCGCCCTCCGCCGGGCGCGCAGCTGCCCTCGGGGCGACGCGGGCGGCGCGAGGCCGGCCCAGGAGTCCTGGCCCCGCAGGAAGCGGAATGTGTGCGTGTGGCGGGGGGTGGGGAGGTCTGGGGACCCTTCTGGGGTTCTGAGGCCGGGGAGGCGGCCTAATGGGGCGCACGGCCTGGTGGGCGGCGAAGGCCCAAGTCCTGGGCTTGGAAGGGGCGGGTGGCCTGCGCGGGGCCCGACCCCAGCCCCGGCCCCGGACCGGCAGGAGAGGGCGGCGGCGTGTGGCCGGGGGTCCCGCCTGGCTGGACCCCAGCGGCGGTAGCAACCCCGACACCCCGGTGACCGCCTGGGCGAGCTGTCCCCGGCGCTGCCTCCGGCGCTTCGCAAGGCGGCGGCACCGCGTCCCGAAGCCGGGCCCTAGGCCTGTCCGTGGCCTCCGCCTCTGCGGCCCCGCGGCCCCGCTCCCCCCCGCGCCCCGCGGGCCCCGTCCCTAGTGCGGGGCCACCGGGAAGCCCTGCCCCGCAGCCTCCGGCGGCTCTGACCCTGCGGGCGCTGCCGCCCTGGCCGCTCCGGGCCGGCGGCGGAGGAGCGCGGTGCCGGACGCCGAGCGGCCGCGTTCCCCACCGGCCGACGCGCAGTGCAGGTGCCGTCGGGCGCTGCTCCTCCAGCGGGCGTCCCCCCTTCACCTAATCCCTGGTGCTTGGGTTCTAATCCCACACATGACGGTTAATCTGCAATGATACCGCTGCGGAGGGACCTGTTGCTAGCGAGGCACGGTGATTTGTCACCTTGGAAACAGTTTTAAATAAAGATCATAACAGCGATGTCAACTGTGTTTATTCTCCGGGTGGGGAGCCTGGCGGCTCCTGGGCGGAGAGGACGGAGGGTCGGTGTCGGAGGGAAGGGAGCGAGGCGCGGGCGGGAGAAGCAGCCAGTCCGCCCCCGTCCCGAGCCTGCTGACCTTCGGGGTTTTCCTTCGGGAAACTCGCGGGGTCCGAAACCGCAAAGCACGGGCAGAGGAGCCGTTTGCAAAACTCGGGAACGCTCGGTGAACTTGAGCTACTGCGAGGAGCCTCCAGCCGGACGCTGCGCCCCCGGGACTCCAGGCGGCGGAGAGCGGAGAAAGGGCGGCTGGCGGGACCCTCCTCCTCGCCGCCGTCCGTGGACCGAAAACGCCGCGCTCCGGGCGTCCTCCGCTGTGAAACCCGCCACCGTCAGCAACCACCACGGAAAACTGTTCGCACACCGAAAGCAAAATTGAACATAATTGCTCTTATTTATCAATTGCTTTTACAGCATTAAAATATTTTTAGTTGCATTGTATAAAACACCATCCACTCTGATGACTACCTGCCATATCTGTGGATCTGCTCCTTGTGTGTTCGGCACAGCGATATTAACCATCAAGAAAAAGCACATCTTATATATTGTATCTGTCAAGCTATGTTACAATTTCTATGAACAAAAAAACACATTATTCTTGTTGAAGAAGCTATGAAGCTTCTTTCATGAGCACTTTATGAATAATCATAGTTGTCAAAAAGAATTAGAGATATAGATTGTAGATGCAAAGGAAATATTAGGTACACAGAATAAAATATACAGTGGGATTGAGGCACAACTATTTTTCTTTTCAAAATAAATTTTTACCGAGGTGAAAAAAACAACAAAACCCTGGGCTATTAAGCTTACTTAAAAGATGGCTTTGTTGGTTTAATTATACTGTAGTTATTTTATAAATATGTTTCAAAGGAAGCTTGCCATATTGCATGTCAATGAGGACTGTAAAGAAACGCTCACAAAAGCTAATGCATACCAAACACCAAATTTTAGTCATTAGCATTCTTATTTATCACAAACTAAAGAAACCTATTAACAGACAAGAATTTCTATTTAGCTAGCATTACAATGTTTGCCCATTAAAATAAAAAGGGCAAAGTATGTCCATATATTTTTTTTTTCCCTTGGAACTATACATTCTTGCTGCCTAGACAGGTTCTTTGGAGAGATTGGAGGACATTTCTGGTTGGGGAAACAGGAGTCTATAGTGGGAATGGGCCAGAGGTCCCAGAACCACTATTTTTAGTTATCAAACTTAATGCTATTCATTTGGGAAAAAAGTGCAGGGCTGGGGCTCTGAGGCAGGCTGAGCACCACATAGTAATGGAAGTGTGTGAGGGGCCCTTTGTCTTTAATTTGTGTTATATGCATATGCAAATGATCTATTGTTTTTCCTCTGGGGGTGGAGTGGATAGCTTTTGTTTGGATGTTAAAATTTCCTCAAATGCTCCCTAGACAGGGTACTTCTCCCAATGCAGATTGCCCTAGTAGGAAATCCCACCACAACAGTAAACATAAGGTTATTAATTCTAGAAACACGCACACACATATAGATTTGTGTCATTTAAAAAAAAATCATTTTCCTTTGAGCAAAATCGGCAATTCTGCTGTCATACCAGAAGTAAATGAATATGTAAACACATTTTTTTTTTCTGAATGCCTATTTGACAGGGAATAAACTTTTCAACTATTTTTTTCTTCTTCTTAAAATCAAGGGTGATTTTTTTTTCCTAATTCGGTAGGGAAACAAGTAAATATCTCAGACCCTGAAGTGAAACATTTGGAATGATAAGGAAGAGTTATTTTGAATTATGGTTGGTGAGAATTTTTTTTTTAAGTGTCCAACAGGAAAAAAAAATAATAGTTACACAAACTTGTTAATCTCGGCGCATTTATCAAGCAACTCAAGTACAGGTTCTTTGGGCCTGACGCTCAACTCAACAGGATCCATTTTGCCTGTTTGGGGGAGTTTTTGCATTAAAAAGATTGAAAACTTCCAAGAAAGGTGCTTCTTTGAAAGGCCCACCTGAAAACAACAGGTACTAGAAAGAAGGAGGGCATTCCTGATTTCACAAAGAAAATCTCTGTCAAAAGTTATGAACAGATTTTGCAAACCCCACTTGAAATCTTAGTTTTCAATAATAAAAGTCGCTGGGGGTAGGTATCCTCTCCCCTGGGATTACTGGGGCAGAGCTGAAGGAGGGAAGTGTAATGGTTCCTACACTGCAAACTTGTCCTTCAGTGACAAGGAAAGTCAGTGTATGATGAAAGCAGCTCGGGTGCCTGCCGCAATGCTGGCACTACTATATCTGGACGAGGTGTCAATCCCCACGTTTCTAAAGCATATTTGATACAGAGGTGGGGGGAACTGCTTTAAAACCTAAGAGTGTGTGTGTGTGTGTGTGTGTGTGTGTGTGTGTGTGTGTGTGTGTATTTTTAAAGGTGACACTTGCCAATAAAGGCCAAATCTATACAATTATTTGGATAACTCCACTCCTCTTACTCACCCCAAATTAACCAGTCTGATTTTCCCTCCACTGCCAAGAGCGCCCATATTATCTCGATAGGCCACCCACTTGCCTCTCTCTCATCTGCATCTTTCCTCTTCATTGAATGCTGAATACTACGAACAGCCAAGGAGGAGAAGGCTGTTCCCCATACATTTAAACCACGCTGGTTTAAATCTCAACGCAAGTGGAAGAACACCCTGTTTCAGTTGCCTTCAATGCAATTTCAGAGTATATTAGAGGAGACCATCTTGGTGATGCAAAGATAAGTAAGACGAAAACACTTTTCTCAGGGAGCTGATACTTGTTGAGGTGAGGAACATACACAGGTCGGGAAGGCACAGAGCAATGCTATTCTATGGATGTCCTGGCTGGGAACACAGGAAAGGAAACATGGGAGAAATCTCGGAAGGTTTACTGGAAGAGGTGGCGTTTGAACTGAACCTTGAAGGTTGAGTATGATTCAAGATGGTGAGGAGAAGGAAATATAAACAAAATTGGCATCCAATTAAGGTATAGTGACAGGTCTGACATAAAGTAGGCATTTAAAAGTGCTTATTTAAATGAATGAATGAAATTTAGAAGTCTAATAATAAATCCCTCTAAACATTTCTCCTTAGGATGGCCTGCCTGCTATGTTAACCTAAAGCCCTCTTATTTCTCTCCTTTGATGGTGTCTCTTTCCCTCATTCAGGCTGAGAGAGCTCATTTTGAGGTTACTGATGATGTCTAGGGCTGCAAAATGATGCCGTTGGCACCAGGAAACGAGTAACAGTCTTATTCAGAGATGACTTCTCCATGGGCAAATGTTCCCTGTATTGATGTCCTGTTTACATTCTTGCAAAGATGGGGGATTACTGCAATTCTATGGAGTTTTGTATTTTTAACAAAACTTCCTCTATGGTACCAATTTAATGTTTTGTTTGAAACATGCTGGAATGCAACATGGTGAAAGGGGGATTGGTAGGCTTTTATATACAGAGCAGAATCCACTGAAAATGGCCTCTGAATGAGAAACAAGGAAACCTGGTGGTGTACTAATTAGTGGGTGGAGAAAGTGGCTCACCCAACCCAGCTTCACTCTTTCTCATCTGAGAGGCAGAGACAATACTGACTCCCCTTGTCTATGTGAAGAGATTTTTGTTTTTGTTCTTTAAAGACAAAACAGTAGGAAGGTAGGTTTTTACATAGCTCTGGCCTCCAGCATTATAGGATTCAGGTGATATTAATCAATTATGAACAGCTTTTTTTTTGTAATCCTCTGGAAACAGATGCTTATTAGTTTGAGCTTTAAGACACAATTTTTAAAATTACAACCATCAGCAAAATAAATAATACTGGCAAAATGGGAAATCTATACTAATAGGTCTTTTCTTTGAAATGCATTTTTATGCTTTCATAGGCCTTCGGGGCTGGGACATGGAATCCACATTAGGACTCAGCAGAGATTTGCTCTTCAGAAAATGCCTGAGCTGAGGAAGGCAGTGCCCGGCTAGATTCTGCCCCAAGCAGGACATCTCGCATCGCCATCCCCTCTCCAGGTTCTCCT